AAAAAAAAAAAAAAATGTTAAAAGACTCAAATGTTAAAATAAAATTACATCTCAAGTCCTAATTTCCATGTAGATGGAAGATTAAAATGAATTTTTTTCCAAGGAAACTTCAAATGATAAAAGAAAGGGAAAAATTCATAAACCATGTATTAACTATGCATAGTTCAAAAATCATGTTTAAAGTTTAACTAATGCAAAAATGAGGTTTTTATCTAATTAATTAAAAATATTTATTAATCAAATATAATAAAATTACAATTATACAATTAATGATCACGTGTACACATTTATAGGTCACAGGTTTATTTTTTGGTCACATATCTTCAAATTAATTGGTCACAAATTATTTCGAGGTCACGAATCAAAACTTTGATAGGTCACAGATTACTTCGTGGTCACGGATCACAATTTATCCATCAATTTTATAGATCACATTTTATGTCATTGGTCATAAATCTAAAAAATTATAGGCCACGAGTCACAACTATAGGTCACAAATGGTTATAAATCCAAAATATTATAGGTTACAAGTCACGTATTTTATAATTTGATGGTCACAAATTATTTTTTAGTCATAAAATGATCGAATTTCAAAGTCACAAATTAATTGTTGGTCACAGACACCAGACACCGATCTCGATTCACCTCAGTACATGGTCACAAATACTCCACCACCAAACCCACCACCATTGTCATCTGAACCACACCATCGTCACCTAAACTAAATTACCAACAAAAACTGTCACCGTGTCCTTCATCACACCACCACAACCTCCAACAAAGCACTGACCAAGAAAGCCGACCACAAACGCCACCACCACACCTACATCCATGCTGTATAGAGTCCACCACTATACAAGACACCGTCATCGCACAAGACACCATCCAAATCCATCGCCAACCAAACACATCGCCACCGCAACCTCACGCTCACAGCCAGCACCCTTACCACCAGCAACACAAACCCCAAAACTACTCCACACCCACTACAAAAATCAAATTCACAGTTGAAGACCGCCGTCTCCACCACCACCATTTTTGCAACACCACCGCACAGGCGCACACACCACCACCGGTCAAATCCACCACTACCGCCTGTAAGTTGTAACCTACCTAGATCGACTGTAACCCTATTCGTGGTCGCGAAGTAGAGGAGAAGAGAGAGAAAACCAATAGAATAGCCACCGGTGAGGATGCTTTTGAGCGTCGCCTCCGTCGTCGTCGACGGTGGTGACGATGGTGTTTCGTGATCGAGAGAAGGCAGAGTATGGAGATGGTAGAGAGAGAAAACAAAACGTGAAATTAGGGTTAGGGAAATTGAATTGGAAGAAATTAATATTTAAATTATTAAATCAATACCTGATTGTTGTATAATGAAACTCTAGCCCTAATGTTTGAATTGTGATGTTTAAACCCTTGGATTTATGTAATTTTCCCATCATTGTGACCTTTGGCACCCTATAGGTAGTCATTAGTTTGCGATGAGCTTTTAATGTGAATTACTGATAAAGAAGCCCAAACTTATACGCATCGGTCCATAAGGTGGTTTGAATCCACTTCGAACTGGTGAAGGGTCCTAACCCCATCAATCTTTCTTTTCGGACTAAATTCGTCATATCTTAATAATTAGATATAACAGCAAGATGAGCCAAGTCGACATCAAATAAAATTTTAATTAAATTGATGTCTAAAAACGAAAATCAATTTATTAAATCCAATTTTAGCATTTTTTTTTTATGCATTGTTATTTTTTAACTCATTATTTAACGGTTTTTTAATCTTAAAGATGCCTTGTATAGTCTCTATTATTACTTTGAAATGATATCAAGAAACCACCCTAATGAATAAAGAACATAGCCCGAAAATAGGCTAAAAAAGGTAGTGCTGAAATGGGAATCAAAATTATTATACATCGGATTATTATATTCATTTTATAGCTATCTTTGAGTTATTGTTTGAACTCGTCAATAAATTTTTTTTATAATTAATTTGAAATATGCAACGTGAGATTTGTTAAGAATATTTTGACAAAGTACCAAAAACATATCTCGATATGTAACGAATATGTATATTACTACTCAAATAGGAGCCTTTGACATGCCTCTGTGACAAGGGTTGAGGTAATATGAAATTTGAATTTTCAAATCAAAGGCTGAGGTGTCACTGTCATAAGCTCCTGTATGTGTAGCACTGCTCAAAGAATACAGCCCCAAAACAAAATGAAACATATCTATTCAATATAATATATTCAAATTTCATTTTATTTTAAATATGCATTTTAATTACATTATAAGTGATTAACCTTTATTCATTACCATACTTATATCATTTATATTTTCTTTATCATATTCTTAATTTTAACATTTCATTGATCAGAAATCTTGTCATTAATTATGATTATCGTCCAAAAATATTGTTAATGTGCTTTAAAATAAAGGCCAAATATTTAATTAAATTATTGCACTATTATTTATTCTACTTGTTAAAAAAAACAATGGACAAATGAGTTTTTATTCTGTTTTAAAGAAAATTTTGGGGAGAGAGCATAATCATGAACAATTTGTGTTAAGTTGAGAATAAAATTGTGATTATATGTCATAATGCGTAGGTTATGAATCTTCAATGGAATTAAAATGTAGTCTAGTTATTAAAAGTGAATATATTTAGCCTAAAAATAAACATAATAACTTCTTAAACCTTAGTAAATAGAGTTCTAAACTTTCTTATATGAAGGAAAATGTAACATTTAAGAGTTCTCAGTCAAAATCAAATAAGAGAAAATTGACGTATCAGAGATTATAGTCAAATTTTTAATATTTATCTACCAGGTTAGTTAGAGTATTGCTATTCATAGTGAAAATTACTGATAGTCGTCAATGTAACATACATATGATAGTTTATTATTTGATGCATTAATATGACAGTTTTTTTATTTTTTAATTTATCAAGTAATAAACTATCATGTGTATGTTACATAGGACGACTACCATAGCCTTCACTATAAATAACATTATTTGGTTAGTTAATGTATTTATTTACTGCAACCTATGTATTCACGAACTGCTAATTACTAATTTGACAATTAAGCAAAGGCAGCCTTCTAGAAATTATTGCTTCATTATTGCAATAGTCTTCTTCTTCAAATAAACATAAAATAATACATAGATTTCTCAGAAAATCGCATGCTCACTTTTGTATTTTCCTTTTCATATTGACACTAAAATAGGAATTAATCCTCGTGGGCCATATCGAGGTCAGATCAAATGATACTAAAATTCATTTCTTCTCAAGCTCATATTTAGTCATACATTCTTTTAATAAAATATTTTGTACGTAAATCCAAATATTTTTCTTATATTTTTAACCATACATTCTCCAAATATTTACTATTGCAAAATCATTTTCCATGTATTGGATATCGTCTTTCAACCAAAAATAAAAATATTTACTATTGCAAAATAAAAATTATAAATATGAAGGTTTGTCCATGTATTGGATATCGTCTTTCAACCAAAAATAAAAGAAAAATAAAAAATAAATACAAGTGTTCATATGGAGGTCTTAAGTTAGGACGCAAATTGGATGAGAAAAAAGAAAAGAATAATGGGCATCGAGAATTATTAGAGATTTAGAGCTCTCATTAAAATTCGAGCTTTAGGTAATTTGAAATTCGAAATATGGACTCAACCTTTCAAATTGTAAGTTTAGTCCCTGTTTGATAGTTATTTTTTTAAAAATAAAAAACAATGGTTTGAATAGTAATTTTTAAAAGAATGTATGGTTAAAAAGTAGAAAATAATTTTAAATTAACGTGCAAAATATTTTATTGCATGAATGTTTGGTTGAAAATGAGTATGTAGAAAAAAGAATTTTCAAATAATGGTTGTCAAACAAGGGTTTAATTGATATTTTTTTTTTGTTTTGAATAAATGATTGGAATTTAATGTGAACATATCACAGCTTTCAAATTAGTTTGGAAACAAAATCACAGGCTTACAGTTTGAAACTGTTGAGTAGGATATCTTTGTTGATCATGATATCACTTTTTTTAATTGATAAAAAGGGGTGCATATTGAACGACTATATTGTGAGAATTGTATTGGTAATCAACTCAAAACCTTACTGTAGAAGCAATA